CTCACAGTTATCAGAGTATTTTGAAGCACTACTTCAACTTGGTGTATTTTGTTGTTTTTTTTTAGAGTTTATTCTTATTTGTGTGTATGTGTACCTGCACATGCATGTGTATGAGCCCTGTTTGTGTATGAGTATCCATGGATGAAGGCTTTGGATTCCCTTCTCTTCTAGGAGAGCAGCAAATACTTTTAATTACTGAGCCATCTCTCCAGCTCTGCAACTTAGTGGTGTGTGTGTGTGTGTGTGCGCGCGCGCCTGCTGTATGTACACCAGATGTATGGAGTGCCCACGGAGGCCAGAGGACATCATCATATACCCTTGAGCAGGAACCATAGATGGTTGTGAGTCGAACCCTGATCTTCAACAAGAACAGCAAATGTTCTTAACTGCTGAGCCATCTCTCCAGACCCTCAACTTAGATTTTGTCCAGAACTCTCTTACATTTCTGAGAGTCAGACTGTATAGTTTCAGTTCAAGTAGAGGAACAAAATGGATCTTGCCTAGAATTCGGCTCAGCCGATAAAAGCTGGAATGCGTGAGAGCAAGCATGTCGGAGTGAGTTCGGTGAGGGGCTGCAAGTGGCCCTGCAGGGTGGCGCATACAGGGACTTTTTTTGCCATCTCCGCCCTCCTTGTGTCTCGCATAGTGTCTGGACATTATGTAATCCCTCACAAGTTCTGGTGTCACTGTTAAAGGAATGGAGCGCAACTGCACAAGAAATGTGACAGTTGTGATGTCTACGGAGGAAAGCGGCCCTGACAGCGGGAAATCCCAGCGAAGGGCTCCCTCCTCGTCCTCCCTGGCAGCCAGTGGTGGCCAGCACCCTGCCTGAATCCCCACGCCCACCAAACCGGAATCACAGGCAGAAAATGTACTTCTCCAGCGCGCTCTTCTCCAGCCTTTCCTCCTCTTTCTTCTGCCATGCTTTGTGCTTCTTGACACGAGTTTCCCACAAGGCTCTGACAACAGAAATGTCAAACACGACCACTTTGTGTCCCATTCGGGGAGCAGCATAAAGTTACCTATAAAAAAATAGACATGTTAGTTTCATATGCACATAGACTGGGTTTGTGAAACACACGCACGTTAAGTCAGGCCGGGTAGTGAAGACCTTTAATCCCAGCACTCAGGAGGCAGAGGCAAGTGGCACTCTCAGTTCTAGGCCAGCCTGATCTATAGAGTGAGTTCCAGAACAGGCTCCAAAGCTACACAGAGAAACCCTGTCTCGGGGGAAAAGAGAGAGAGAGGGGGGGGGGGGAGGGAGGGAGGGAGGGAGGGAGGGAGGGAGGGAGGGAGGAAGGAAGAAAGAAAGAAAGAAAGAAAGAAAAGAAAATAGAAAAATGTATATGGGGTTGGAGAGATGGCTCAGTGGTTAAGAGTACTAGCTGTTCTTCCAGAGGACCAGGGTTCAATTCCCAGCACCCACATGACAGCTCACAGCTTCTTGTTATTTCAGTTTCAGGGGATCTGATATCTTCACATCAGTGCACCTAAAATAAAGTTAAAGAAATTTGTTTGTACACGTGTGTAGGTATATGTTAGTACCCTAGGAGGCCAGAAGCTTTGGATTGCCCTGGAGCCAGAGTTACAGGTGGTTGTGAGTCACCTGATATGGGAACCGGGAACTGAACTTAGATCCACTGTAGAAGTGCAGTTCCTCTATGGAAATAACTGAATTGTTGCTTAGCTGGGGTAAGGGCGAGCGTTTCAATCACCCCTGTTTCTTGTTGTGTGGCAGGTGCAGGGAGATGCTACAAAGATGAGGAAAAATGATCTACATTTCAAGAAATAGAAACTTAGTTCTGGGAGCAAAAAGCCATTAAAAACTTGAACAACGTAAAACCCTCATTATATTCCCTCACCCCTAAGGGTCCGTGCACAACACCAACTCTTCAAAACTTGTCCTCTAACCTTCAAACTCATGGTGTGGCACACGTGTGACCCTCACACACAGCAAAAACAATAATAAACAGCATCTTCAACTAAAATAAAAACTTTTTAAAAAGTTGGCCAAAATGCCCAAATAAAGCTGACAGCATCTACAGAGTGAATAGCTGGGACGAGCTCATTGGGGCGGGGCTTACTGGGGCGGGGCTTACGGGGCAGAGGAGCAGAATGCCTGAGGAATGACACAGAGCTACACCAACAGCTCAGATTTTTAGCCTTCATTATTTTTATGTGTATGAGTGTTTTGCCTGCATCTACGTCTGTGCGCCATGTACATGTAGTGCCATGGAAGACAGAAAATAACAAGAAGAATGAGATCCCTGCCACACCTTCATGTCCGTCCCCAGGCTATCAGGGAGAATTCCAGAACACCTGCATGCTGGGATAGATTTCGGACCAGCACTTGAATCAGGGAATCTAAGTCTGAGGCTGAACGGAGTGCCACGGAACCACGAGAGGGGGGAAGGCCCATCCGGGGTGTGGACAACTTGCAAGCTGGGGTGGGAGGGTTTTGGGAGTGACAGGGAACACAACTATCAATGCAGGTTTAGGTGACAAACTTTCAATGTCCACCCCCCTCCGCAACCCAGTTATATCAGAATTGCTTTACAATAGCATTGGCTCCCAGGAGCCAGAGGGCATGACTGAAAAAATGTGTCCCCTGGCACCAGAGCTCTGGTCTCCACTCAGAAGTCATATGCCAGGGGAGAGGAAGGGAACATTCAGATCACCTAGTCCTCTCCCTTGTCAACTGATAAACTGGGCTGTCAAGGGCTGGAGATGTGGAATGGGTACCAAGCTTACAGCTCAGAGCATCATGGGAAATATCTGGAGGAGCTTGGAGGAGACCCAACAAAGTCTCTCACCCTGACATTCCCTTTGTGGGTACAGAGAGAGGCAAAAGCGAAGGAAGGAGAGGAAAAGCAGGTCCTGGGGATGGCAAGGTACCTGGCTCCCTGTGGCCATCTGGCTGCAGTGAAGATATCCTAAAGAGAGACTTGTGCCTCTTACCTTTGACTACCATCTACTGAGACAGTTGGCTCTCTTCCTAAAATTGGGATTTCCCCCCAATAATCTCATGCTGGGAGTAAGAGAAGGCTGAGACCTGGTCTTGCCTTTTTTTTGTGTCTCACAAGGGAGGAACCTGGAACTCAGATTTCACACAGTTCTGACAACTGGTCTGATCATGTTGCAGTAGAGATTGGAGCCTACATGATGGGCAGGATCACATGACCAGGACAGTTTAGCTGTATAACACCTCTTAGCTTCTGTTTACACTCCAACCTCATGTCAGGGCTGTGAACATGGACCCAGGAGGGGAGTTCTTCAGAGCCTTTTTGTTCTCTTCCCACACTGAAAACATCCGCTTCTGGGCTCTGTACCGATGTCTGTTTAACTGGCCCATCAAGGACGACAGCTGAGCTGGCTTGTTTGGCAATTGGGGCCCAGGTTCTGCCCCTAACAATTCTTATAACATCCCATCTGCTTTTCCTGCCCTAACTCCCAAGGAGCCAAGCTCCCAGCCTTCCAAGGGCTCCTACTAGGCGTATCCTATGGGAAGATGCCCTGTCATCAATCCAGCTCTCCACTAAGAGAATGGCTAATAGGAACTGCTTAGGACGCTAAGGGCTGTACTCCACAGCTGGAAGGCAGAATGAGTTTTCTAATAGAACAGTCGGGGACGTGGCTACAGTTTAAAGTAAGGTCAGAATAGCAACTACTGTGTCTCAGTTGAGTTCTAAAATGAATTACATTTTATGATGCATGGTCTGAGTTTCCCTTGGGACATTTGATTATTGTTAGGGTAATTTGCTAAACTAGAAGCTCAAGTCAGGAGACAGAGGGCATAGAAAGGATTAAGAGGACAGGGGCTGAGTCAGATGGCCCCGGCTGGAATCCTGCCTCCTGGCTTATTGGTCACATATCCCTGAGGACAGGCTGATGAATTTTCACGTGGACAACATGCAACCTCAGCACCCGACTCCCAAGCTTGGTGAGAGAGCACCCTGTGATCATTGGATCACGTGCAGCTTAGGATGGGACCTGTCACCCTGTAAGAATTGGGGGTGAGGGTGGGGGGAAAGAAGGTGCCAATCAACTAAAGAAAAGAAATGGAGACAGACCATTGGGCATCAATTAAATGTAAGTTGTTAACAAGAGGTGAAAGCCGAGGTGGGGCTCAGTTAGAGTTCTTGGCCTGCAGGAAACCTAGGTTCCTACCCCACCCAGGGCTACATGAGACCCTATTCAAAAACAAGCAGCCACACTGACACACAGAGGTCTGTGGGCATTAAGGGTCTTTTCCCAACTCGACTGGGTTAGCCAGTTCTATGGGACCAGTGACTGGAGCTCGCCCCAGGCCTGACGATGGTCCAGCCTAGAACCGCCTCAGCTGGGAGGTTTACAGAGCTGAACAGTTCTCTTTCGGATTGCCAATCACTTTGCCTCCCTTGCCCCAAACCCTGCCCCACCCGCACCAAGGGGCGCGCTTTAGGAAAGGAAAGACCACTCCCCCACCCTCCCTCCTTGTTAGATGTCAAGCATATTTTCCAAGGACCAGGAGAGGGCACAAACAGAAATGATTTATCACCCCCTGAACAGCACTTTGGAACTCAGTCTTGGGCACCTAGGTGGTGCCCTCGAAGTCACCAGGAGGATTCCTGAGGACCTTGTCCCGACAGCAGCCCACCTGAAGGCACCCGTGCACCCCGCGTGCTTTCTGACGCCCCACTCAATTGTAGTTCTTGAGATAAGTAGGGTCCTCTCCGTGCGCTTGGATGGTGGCTGGTTGGAGCTCACCGCGCACCAGGTGAAGCTGTAAACAGCCAAAGCCACACCGCAGGCGCAGTGGTGGGTGTACCCTCCCCCGCCCCCTCCCAAGCAGCCGCGATGCCCACTCAGCTTCTGCGCAGTCGCAGGGCAGGCGCTCCCACCTGTTAGTTCACACCCTTCTGCCGCTGGGACCGAGACCACCCGCCACTCACCTTCCCTGTGAGGGTGGGTGCTGACAGTCCCCGGCCGCCGCGGCTGCCACGCTGTAACCCACGCTTTCGATGGTGTTTACACCCGCAGAGCAACGCCCCGAGCGGAAGGACTACCGTGCCTATGCGCTAACAGGCTATATTTGTAAGCGGATAATATGATCTGGAGGACATGTGCTGATTATCTATCTATTCTATGTGACTCAGCCTAGCAAGAGACAAAACAGATCTGCTTGGGGAGGGCTTGGCACCCGAGCGTAGCAGGCTTATTGAAGGAGCCGGGCAGGCAGAATCCCCCCCCCATACACACACACTCCGATTTCCCCCCACCCTCCACAGAGGACTGGCGCTCTCCAGCTAGAAAGCCTTGGGTGCTGAGGGGAAAGCATTCTGTGGTCTCAGTACTCTATGGCTAGGAGCCAAACAACAAACATGATTAGAAAGCCCGTAGGAAGGGATCAAGGTTATGTAAACGTTTTGCTTTTTGTTTGTTTTTTTTTTTTATTTTTTGCAATGTTTGAAGCAATACACTTAAGTCTTGATTTCATCCTTATGTGTTTTTTGTCTGTCTGTCTGCTTGCTTGTTTGTTGTATCCTTAAACGTTTGCTACCTGAGAACGTAGTAGTCTTACTGATGGCAGACACTGGAGTGACACCCAATGAGTAGTAAAGGAATTCCAGTGTTCTCCCAGGAATATAACCCATTGGAATAGCAAGGGCTCCTCACATACCTTGGTCTGAATCTGGAGTCCTGGAGCATACCCACAATCCCCACTTGGGAGGCAGAAAGTCAGGAGGCCAAGGTCATCCTCAACTACCATCTATGCTTGGTTCAAGGTCAACCCAGGCCAACTAATACCTTACCCCCCCTCCTCAAATAATAGGCAAGGTGACACATACAAGTAATGATCAGTTGTTTAGGGTCATCCTCACCTACATATGGAGTTCAAGTCCAGCCTAGTCTATTTGAGACAGTCTCAAAATTAAAACAAACAAACAAACCTGAATTTTGAGTGTGGAGTTTCATTCCCTTTAATCTCAGTTACTGATGGGTACAAATGAGACCCTAGATTCAATCCCTAATATTGCAATAATTATAATACTTTGAGAATACACATACTAAAAAAAATTATTTGTCATCAATCTGAAATTTATGACTGAGTGTCCTGTCTTATCTGCCAACCTTTACACCTGAGCTGCCAGGACCTTGCTCAACTTTGGAGCCAGACAGCTGTATCTTTAATAAGCTTTACCTGGTGCCAACATTGCTGGCCCGTGACCACATGGTGAGAATCAGAGATTAGCACAATCTGGTACAGGGGTAGCCAGGATAGCTCCTCACTGGTCCTAACTCCTGGGCAGGGTCCTGGGGCAATATTTCATGTGTTTTGAGGTTGCCTCTGACACACAGCAGCCGGGAGGTACTTGAAAACACAGAATGTGTTTACACTTGTGTAAGGACTTGTTGGCAATATTCTAAACTCACTTGTACAGATTGCTGCATCTCTGAGCTGGGCATATCCAAAATGAGGGGTATGGCAATGCACGCCTGAGATTCCTACTATCAGGACAGAGACAGAAGAGGCAGAGGTTCAGAGTCATCCTAAGCTATTTGGGAAGTTAGAGCCAGCCTGGGTGACAAAAGACCCTGTAGAGGTACACACACACACACACACACACACACACACACAGAGGCACGAACGCACGCGCGCGCGCACACACACCCCTTACAGCTTTTGAACTTCCAGAGTGCATGAAGTAGGCCTGTGCCCTGTGATGCTCATTTCCCCAAGTGGCCTGAAAACTACTAGCAGCCTAGCATATATGCTGATACATATTTTCCTCTTGAGTAGCTCTAGCTGGGGCCCAAAAGAACAGCACCTTTTAAAGCAGTGGTTCTCAACCTGTGCGTCCTGACTCCTTTGTGGGTCAAACAACCCTTCACAGGGTCACCTAAAACCATTGGAAAACAAAGATGTTTACATTACAATGCATAACAGTAGCAAAATGACAACTATGAAGTAGCAACGAAAGTAATTTTATGGTTGGGGTCACCACAACATGAGGAACTGTACTAAAGGGTCGCAGCATCAGGAAGGCTGAGGACCACTGGTTTTATCTATTCAGCCTCAGCTCAGTTCACAGATTCTGCTGAAACATCATCCACAAACAAGCACACTCAGATAACCCAAACCTTTGTTATTTTTTTTCCAGGCTTGGGTTTAGGGAAAAATATTGTCTTCCTGGCTTGCTTCTCAAAGCTCTTGATCTATCTCCTATTTCAGAAAATAGGGCCGAGACTTAGTACTTCTGTAGACTACAGGGTGGCCCATGGAGAAAGATTTCCTAATTAGCTCAGGGAGCCACTGCTATCAGGGTTGCAGACGCTGAGAGTCCTGGGCTGACAGGCTGTAGACCTCCTAGGTGGGAACCAGGGGTAAAGAGGTGAAAGACAAGAAAATAAGCAGTTTACAATCCAGAGTTGGCAAAATAAACTCCAGGGTGGGGAAGTGGATACCATGATCTGCTCCTCTGTTCAGAGCCCCAGCTGGAAGCTGAGGTAAGGAGAAATGGTGCCAAGAAGGAATTCCCGGAGCAAATGGTATTCAGGCGGAGCCCAAAGAAGCCAGTTGAAGGGCGCTGTAAGAACCACCAACAGAATACAAACACCCAGCAACACAGTGAAATATGCAAATCCAAACGACAGAAATCACATCCGGCATCAACAAAATCTTCAGATGTTAGCTGCAGCGGGCATGGACGAGCCCAAAGAGAGGGGCTCTTTACGCACAGTTTTGCAGTAAAAGGAGGAAGGAAAGGGACATGGGTGGGGTTCTGGGAAAACATTTTGGAAGAATGCATAAATTACACAAGCAATTTTAGCGCTCAGTATTTACCAGAGTACGCCCTCAAATGTCCCCAAGTTATACCTGCCAGGGAAGATACTACAGAAATGTGTCTTCGGGGATCAGTGATAAAATAATTCCTGGTATATCTACACAGCACAGGTAGAGAAGGAACAGAAACCATACAGAAACAAGGGTGTCCCCTCTTAATCCCTAGGCCATTCCTCTTCACACTTCCACTCTTCCAGTCTGTCTGTATGCAGGAATCTGTCTGTTCTGTTTGTCAAGTTCTCAGTGAAAATAGCCATTAGCTTGTTAATGAAGGCGCCGGGGCCTGCAGGGAAACAACAGATCCTGACAGTTTCAGGAACTGGAAAAGAGGCTGGAGGACCTTTTGAGAGGAGGGGGAGGGGGTAGAGAGACTGGGCGTGGACAGAATTCCTAGGCCAGCCCACTGTCTTAGTCACTGGCCCTCGTCAATCTGCGGAGTACTATGAAGGAAGTAAATCACCGTAGAGGCCTTGGGCAAACGTGGGCGAGGGTTGTTATTTTTGTGTCTTGTATTTCTTTTTAAGATTTCTTTTTATGTACATTGATGTTTTGCCTGCCTGTATGTCTGTTGTGAGCTGCCATGTGGATGCAGGGAATTGAACCCAGGTCCTCTGCAAGAGCAGCCAGTGCTCTTAACTGCTCTCCAGCCCCATGTTTTGTATTTTGAGGCTGGGTCTTTGCTGCTCTTGATGATACTTGCCTGAGATCCCAGAATTTGGGGAAACAGGGAGGAAGGTAACTGAGAGTTCCAGACTAGCCTGAGCTTGAGTGAGACCGGTTCTTAAAAGAAGGGTTAGATAAACAAAAAGCAGGATCTTACCCATAGCACAGGCTAGCCTTAAACTCACTCTGAAGACCAGGCCAGCCTCTGACTCACTTCAACCCTCCCTCTTACAACCTCTTATAAGACTGCGCCACAGCGTCCTGCTTTTGTGACAGGTCACCCTAGTTCCTGATACCTGACTGCTCATAACGAGGATGAGAATAGATCTAAAATATTAAAATAAAATGGATGGACCTTGTATCCCAAGGCTTTAAGTATCAGATGTGACCAGATAGACAGATGTGACTCCTCTGTCCCAGGTGTTCACTGGAGGCAGAGTTTCCTTGGACTCTGAAACATCTCCCAACAATAGCAACCTCAGCCCCTTTCTCTGAAACAGCGAGGTGACATCCATCGTCTGTGCTCTGCAATAGGAGCTCCTCTATGATGCCTTCAGCGAAGGGAGTCTCTCGCCGGGTCATAAAGTTTCTCAGCGGGTTGTGCCAGACCTGCCCAGCATCTAGCAATAGAGATACAACTCCAGACTGCAAGGGAGGCCCTCCCCATTACCACAACGAGACAGAGAGAGGCTAGTAAACTGCAGCTCACCCACTAAGCATATTGGGCCTGTTTGGACACGAGAGAGCCTAGCGACAAGCCACAGCTTTAACCTTCTCCCCCGCTGGTCCCCGCGCCCACCCGCAGACTCCCGGAGCGCGCTTCCGGACCGAGCTGTTGCAAAGACTCAGGCACACTCCCAGACTTAATCCTTCCCGACCTTGACCTTGCTCTTCACCCAAACAAGTCTTCCCGGGTCGCTAGCACATCTTCCCTAGCCACCCAAACTTTCCCCGCAACCAGCACCCAGCTCCACTCGGCTTTTTAGCAAAAAGATGGAAGAAAATTCAGAGCTAAAATCTGATAATGAAGTATCAAATGCCTACATCTTTATACATGGTGTACAGATGTTCCTAATTAATGACTTTCGTGTTTGACGGTCTTGGCAGAACGATTTGACTCTCTTCGACCCCAGTTTTCAGGAGAAAAGAAACTGTACCTAACCGACAGTGTTGGTCAGCCAAGGCCACCTCTCGGCCTTGCAACGCCCGAGCCTAGTAATGGGCGTGGGGCTCCCGTCTCCCCGCCCACCTGAGGGTCCTCCCCGCCACCCCAGGGGTTTCTAGTGAAGGAAGATCCCTGGAAAGTCCTTTCTCAAGGTCAAAAACGTTCTGTTGGAGGGAGAGGCCCCATCACCTCAGTCTGCTTGGAGACCTTGGCTTTCGACTGCCCTAAGACCTTCCCGGACGGGCGCATTTCTCATCTGGAATCTTTCTTTTTAATTTACTATTTTTCACGTCGGGAAATTAATCTTTGGGTGTTTGGGAGATGACCTTATGAATTAAAGCCATTTACTTGTATTTTTCTCCCAACATTTTTACGAGCCGTGGAAGATGGCGCACTTCTCCAGGTATGAGCTAACTTTGAATTTTTGATTGCTGGAGATTGCGACTTCAGAAACTCATGTTCTACCCTTCTCCGACTTTTGTCTTACTTGAACCTTAAAATGCTGCCAGTAGCACCGCTGCTTTTCCTGAAGATCCTGGAACTTTGTACTTAGTTATATACTACTTGGCCGTTGACTTTAAAATACTCAATTTTTTAACATTCAGTGTGTGTGTGTGTGTGTGTGTGTGTGTGTGTGTGTGTGTGTATCATGATATCTGATTTATCAGACCCACTGTAATGGGGTGGTCAGATCCCTGTGTGGGTCCTGGGCATCCAGCTCAGGTTGTAAAATAACTGGACAGTTTTGGGTTTTTGTTTTGGTTGTTTTCTAATGGGTCTGGGGATCAAACCAGGATCTGCACACGCTAGGCAAGTGCTACCCTAGCCCAGCACACACAGCCATTTAAAAATTTATATATGTAAACTACCCTGGAATATATGCCATTTATACAAAATAGAATTGTTTCCAAGGACAGAATTTCTGTTCCAGTTTCTTACTGGAGGCTCCACTAAAAGAATGGTGATACATTTGAGTTTCTCCTTAGTGGCCTGTGGTCTTCTGATGAGAGTTCCCAGTTTTACACGCTCTGTCTCGCTAACTGATGTCCAATTTCCTTTTTCTAGTCTGGTTTTACTTGTGGCCATTTCCAGTGCATTTGAATTTGGACTCATTGCTGGTGAGAGTTTTCTCCGTTAGTTTGGGGTTCAGGGTTTTTTGGGCGGTGGAGAGCTTCAAGACAGGGTTTCTCTTTGTTGCCCTGGCTGCAGACCAGACCAGGCTGGCTTTGAACGCACAGAGATCCGCCTGCCTCTCACTCATGAGAGATAGGATTAAAGGCGGAGGCCTTCACTTCTGCACAGCTTGGGTTCAGGATTTGAGACTGAGTCACTGAGCCCAGACTGTCCTGCCTCTACCAATCCCAGGGCCACCACCACACCCAGTGAGTTTTGTACCCACACACAAACACATTTGTTTGTTGTTTGTGGTTAAAGGCCTTGTAGCCCACGTTGAGAGCCAAGGCTGAACTTGAACTCCTAATTCTGCTTCTACCTCCCAAGTTCACTACTGAACCTGGCTGAATTATTTTTTCCTTTTGAGCACCAACTTTTTTGGTGTTGTTGTTGACATGGTGCTGGGGATTTGGCTTTGCACCTACTGACTCCCAGATAACTCCCCTCTATTCCCAGTCTCTGGTGTTTTGGGACAGGGTCTCAGGCTGGCATCTAACTCAGGATCCTTCCTCCGCCTCCTGAGTGCTGAGATAACAGATGTGTGTCACCAAACTTGGGTGGGTGGGGGCTTTTGTTTTTCAAGAGGAGGGGCTGCTTCTTATGAACACTAACAATGTTTTCTGTGGCTTGAAATACAATACAGGGTTGGACCACCGTGAGCTGACTGTTCTGTCTCAGAGAGACCCGGCCATCAGAGATAACAGCCTTCGAAACCCGGAAGGACCTGCAGTACATTCTGGATCTTTCCAGTTGGTGCCTTCCATGGAGATACAGAATAGTAAGGCTTGCTAGACCTAATTCATCTCCGTCCTGGCCCTTGACACATCTCTAAAGTAACTTTAGCACTTAACCAGAGAGACTGGATGTGTTGTGCCAGCGACTGAGTGCTTTAGGTGTAAAGGTGAGACGGGCATGTTGTGTCTCACCCCTGAAATTCAGTTTTTCTCCTGATGTTACTGCATACTGGGGACTGGTAACTATAACTGGTGCACATGAAAATGATTTCCTAAAAGGGAGTCTTGTGCTATGGGCTCTTCAGAGTACTCTGGGGAGACGGAGGCCAGAGCATTAGACGAACCTTTGCTTATGGCTTATCAGGTCTCCATCTGCCTCATGACCTTTTCATTTCAGGTAAGTTGCTTAACAAAACTTGCTGCCTCAATGGAGGGACCTGCATCCTGGGGTCCTTCTGTGCCTGTCCACCATCCTTCTATGGACGCAACTGTGAACGTGATATACGGAAAGAGTAAGCTGTTGGAGGGGACAGGACTGGGCGGTGGGGGAGGGAAGGGGACTGAGGAATTTACTGACTGTGTGGTCTCGTGTTTCTCAGGCACTGTGGGTCTGTTCTCCATGGCAACTGGCTGCCCAAGAAGTGTTCCCTGTGCAGGTGTTGGCATGGCCAGATCCACTGTTTACCTCAGACCTTTTTACCTGGCTGTGGTAAGCAACTCTCTCTTCTTTCGTCCTAGTGGATCCCTTAGAAACACAAGGGACTCCCTTTCTGCCTCCTGTTCCTCCAGAACTTTCTTCCAGGTCTGACAGGACCTGCCAGCCAGGCCTCTACTTATAAAATAGCATAAGGATCCAGAAGGCATAGAGCCTAGGAATTCTTGGTGGGTGTTCCTCGGACACTAGATCCTTAGGGAGTGGTCCCTTAGGGAGATGTCCCTGGAAAACCATTAGATGTGGTGTCAGTGATTGGTACTGTCTTAGGCATATGAGGTCCCTAAGTAGTGTTCTCTTAGATGTGGGTCCTTGGGGTTGCTCCCTCAGGCATGGGTCATGGGGTATTTTTGGACACTCCCTCAGATGTAAGGCCACTGGTGGATGTTCCTGAAGCACAAGCTTCGAGAGGGAATGCGTCTTCTGTGGGGGTGTGGTCCCTGATACAATGATCTTTAGGAGAGATCTCAGGCATGGGGTCTTTGAGGGACACTCTCTCAGTCCCTACTGTCACACTGCCTGCGGAGTTCCTTCAAGTCTGCACCACACTGATAACCAGCAGGCTTCTGTTGGACACACTGAACAGAAAAAGAGCCTGACACTTCTGCATCAAGAAGTGCTTGCTGGGGGCGGGGGGGGGGGGTCTGTCTTTGGGCAGAAGATCCCAGCAGACTCCAGGAATGGCCACCGCTACAATTACTCCTTCCTAGGATGGCCATTCAGATAGAACCAACTCCTGCAGTGTACCCTTCCTGTGACCGATGGGTTTGGATTGGATGTTTTGGGGTTTGTTTATTTTGTTTTTTTTTGTGTTTGTCCTATTTTGTAACCCAGGCTGGCTTAGAACTCACGATATAATCAAAGTTGGCCTCAAAATTCCCATCAGTCCTCATGCCTCAGCCTCCACAGTGCTGAGATTACAGGAATGCTCCAGCAGCCTCAAATCTACCAACACTTTTACCCCTCTGGTGTCCTCTGGACACATTTATGGGACAAGGCTGTCCTGGAACTCACAGAGATCTGCCTGCATCTGCCCCTCACCCCCCACCCCCAATGCTGGGCTTTAAAATTGTGAGTCCCCATGACTCCTGCACCCTAAAGGTGCTGGTCTCAGTGCTCTTTGTCTTGTAGATCTGAAGGAGACAATGGCAAGAGGGTCAGGACATAGGAGAGATCAGAGGAGCCAGTGTTATCCCCACCCCATTTGGCTGGGTTTTTCCGAGCGACGGTTGGACTTTTTATTTATGTTGTAGGATGTGCATTATAGGAAACACAAGAAGCCAGAAACAGCCTCCCAGTCACAAGCAGCTCAGCTTGATGTGTCCTAGATGCTGCAAGTGTGCATGCATTTAGCTAATTGAGATTATACAGTATGGACCAAGCTTTCCCCTACATTGTCAATCTTCACCAACTAAAAACCCCATGTAGAGTATTTTGATGACCAAGAATACACCCCGCCATCTCAATCTGCACATTTGGACTCTTACAACTGAATGTGTGCAAGTTCATAAAGTAAATGAAAGTGTGCCTTCATTTGACACAAGATGGAACCCTACTGCCCCAGTATAGACTCTGTGTCTTTACCAGTGCATTTATTATTAGCAAATGAAGGTAGAGTGGTTGGATGAATGGAAACCATATTTTCTTCTTGGAATTTGGGGACCAAGGGGTGTTGTCCCCTCACCAGAGCCTAAACAAGATCTGCACCAACACTGGACTAGAAGAGCCAATTAACAGTAGGTCTGCTGCAACCGTGGACAAACGCTCTTCGGGGGCTCGAGAGTCATAGCACTGCTGATCTTGTGGGTACACTGTCCTCATCCAGTTAGGCCCCCTCGGAGTTCTGGGTCTTGAAGATAGACCTGTGTTCAGGCACTGGAGGCAGCAGGGGAGCTGGCAGGCTTTCCTATGATGACCAAGCATCTCTACCTTTCAGATGGCCATGTGATGGACCAGGATCCTCCAGCATCCAGGACTCCAGGACAAGCACCATCTATGCCAGCTACTCTCATGCTAGCTGGCATTTGCCTTTTCCTAGAAATGAAAGTGTAGGCGTCATATGAATTCAATGCCAGTGTCCTAACAAAGGGGTCATTTGTCATTCATTTAAAGGTAATACTCATAGTGATGCCTGACACTCCCCTCAAAACACTAACTACTAGGCCTTTCCCCTGCATGGCTCCACCTGTTTCTGCCTGTGCTGGTGGTCAAAGCCATAGCTTGTGGGTGCCAAGAAAGGGGTCTAATACTGAGCTACATCACCAGCCTAAAAGTACTCTACTTAAAAACTACCACATGGCCACATCTTGCTTTTGTTTTTAATTTTGCTTTTACTTTATCTGCATTGGTGTTTTGTCTGCATTATCTGGGTGAGGGTGTCAGGTCCCCTGGAACTGGAGTTGCAGAGAGCTGTGAGCTGGGAATTGAACTTGGATTCTGGAAAAGCAGTCAGTGCTCTTAATTGCTGAGCCATCTCTCTAGCCCTTCCTCCCTCCCCCATATCCTGCATTTCTTGATAAAATAACTCTTACCTTTCTTGCTAATACTTTTAAGCAATTCTTAAGATTATGAAATGCTGGTGTGCAACTAAGTAAATTCAGAGTATGTGAAAATACATTATTAGAAAGCCAAATTATAAAACTACGTATTGTAAAGTCTGTTTTCATAATAGATTTTGTAAGAGTGTGCACAGTAAAAATGGGAACTTTCTTGATCAAAATGTGAGTTGTTATTTCTAGGTGGTAACATAAACAATATTTTGTGGTTTTCCCCCTCTCTCCGTACTGAAAAATTTTCAAATTCTCCATGATGTGAACATATTTAGTGTAGTTTCATAAGAAGCATGACAACTGTATCACACAGGCTGGATAAGCACCAATTGTCTGGTGGATGCTCGGGTAGTTTTTTTTTGGGGGGGTGTTCATTTGTTGGTTTGGTTTTTCCTTTTGCTTTTTAAAAAATTTTTAAAACATAATCTCACTTTGTATGTAGCCCAAGCTGGCCTTGAACTCATCAAGTAGCCAAGAATGACCTTGAATTTCTGATCTTCCGGAATGGAGGGATTATAGGCATGTTCAATCAACCCCAGTTTCATGCAGCGCTGGGCTTCCTGTGTCCTGTGCAAGCATTCAGCCAGCTGAGCGCATCCCCAGAGCACTGGCCCCCACTCCCAAGTACCAAAACCCAGGTATTGTAGCACACATTTGTAACCTCAGCACTAAGTAAGGATGCTGAGACAGGAGCCAGCTGGGGATGCATAGTGGGACTGTCTCAAGGGGAGGGAAAGATAGGGATACAGGCTGGAAAGATGCCTCAGTGGCTAAGTTTTTACTGTGTTCACAGAGGACCCAGATTTGGCTCCCAGTTCATGCACGTGGTAGTTCACAACCACCTATAACTCCAGTTCCAAGGGATTCAAAGTCCTCTTCTGACCTCGGTGGTCTCATGCACCCAGACACATACATAAAATTAGGAAATCTTGGGCTGGAGGGATGGCCCAACAGTTAAGAGTACTTGCTGCTCTTGCAGAGGACCTAAGTTTCAGGTTCCGGTATATGACAGCTCATGTGGCTTCCATAACTCCCATTCCAGGGGATCTGGTGCCCTCCACAGGCACCAGGCACACAGTGAGCTCTCCAGGACTATGTGGTAGTGAGGGTGCCTGTAGGTCACCTTGTCCTCTGCCTCTCGGTTTGTATTCATTTTGTTTCCATTAAGTCAGCTTTTCCTTTCAGCGGGAGGGAGAGGCTGATCTATAACTTGGAATCCCCCTGCCTCAGCTTCTCAGTTTCCAACATTAAGTACATTTACATTAGTTTATACTCATTCCCCCCCCCCCCCAATCTGTGCTAGAATTTTGTCATCATTCCAAACAATCTGCTCCCATCGCAGGTACCATGAAGCGGAGTCTTGCGGTGTTTGTCTCTTTACATCAGGCCTAGTTCACTTAGCATGGCAGTAAGTTCTGATCATGTTGGAGCATGTGCAAGGCACACATGGCATACATACATACTCATAACATTAATTTAAAAAAGGTACAGCATTTGACATTAACCTCTCACATCCACACATGCACACATGAAATTGCATACACACACATGCAAAATGAATGTGAAATAATTAGAAACAATCTTTGTGTTGGTTGTGGTGGCACACACCTTTAATCCCAGCACTGTAAGCCTGGTTCCTAATCCTGTTTGTGAGAGTCCTTTGCTAACAGTTTGGTCAGTCATGTTGAAATTCTTGACTTAGCCAGCCAGAGACCTAAACCAGAGCTGGGAAATGATGGGCTTTGGACCTTTCTCATGTCCCTTTAACTTTTACTCATGACTGCATTGGGAAAAGCAGACAAAGGGGCTCAGTGACACCCCCCCTTCCCATGCTCATCTTCAAGGGGCTAGCAGGAACTTCTGGTTTTTATATAAAAAGGAAACAGAGAGAGTGGGGTTTGCATAGATGGCATCCTAGTCTGTCACCTAGCTCTGATGTTGAAAGAGTTCTAGAGGAGCTGTCATCACTGGAGTGGAACACTCTGGTCCCTGTGAGATGCTCGGGGCTCACTCCTGTTCCAGGGTCAGTTCCCATCACCAGGTGCTGTTGGGTGAGGCTCAGCTGTTGGTAAAGATGTAGGAGTTAGTGTCCCCCTGTCCCGTCCCGTCCTCCTCCGTCACAGAGCAGTCTGTCTTCCCTGGAATCCAAGGCCACCCAGAAGAGAGTCACAGAGGCAAATGATAAGAGGTAGCAGAGTCAGTGGGGGGGGGGGGGGGGGAGGGTCCAGCCAAGCAAAAGCAGTGGTTCCCCAAACAAAGAATGCTCAGGCAGACAGACTAGGAGTAATGTAGTTTCTTTCTTTTGTGTTTGTTTGTTTATGGTTTTTCTTGATAGGGTGTGGGGGGGGGGGCTGTCCTAGAACTCACTGTGTAGACCAGCTTGGCCTAGAACTTGGAGATCCACCTGCCTCTGCCTCCCGAGTGCTGAAATTAAAGGTGTGCAACACACTGCCTGGCTGGTTTGGTTTTTTTAGATTTTCTTAAAGATTTCTTTATCTTTAGCATGTGCGTGTGCGCGAGCATGCAATGTGGGCAATGCCCAAGGAGACCAGAAGAGAATAACACTTGGAACTGGAGTTTAGGCAGTTGTTAGCTGCCAGGTAGGTGCTGGGAACTGAACCTGTGTCTTCTGTAAGAGCAACAGCTGCTCTTAACCACTGCACCACCTCTCCTGCTTAAGGCTTATTTTATTTTTAATTATCTGTAAATGGGGTGGGGCTGCACATGTGAGTCCTGGAGTCCGGGAGAGGGCACCAGCTCCGCTGGCCTGGAGTCACAGGCAGTTATGAACCAGCTGGCTACCACTCTGGTCCTCTGGAAAAGAATGAGAGCTCTTGACAGCTGAGCCATCTCTCAGTTCCTGCGGCCTCCTTTTTAAGCAGCCAGATGAGAGAATGAGGCAGCTGCAGAGCGGTTTCTCGGTGTGTTCAGTACAGTCATAAGCCCATCTCAGAAGGACATACCTGCAAACTAGCAGAGGGCCCTGGGAACTCTGTAGGCCATACATACACACAGACTGCACCCCAAAGCTATAGGAAAGCTGAGTTTAACTCTATAATGTTATATAAGCTTGGGAGCCCCTACCCTTCCTGCCTGTGAGGACTGAATGGGCTTTGGGAGCACAGCTTCTGTTTAAGACTACCCATCCCAATTTAGCTGTACAGGCTCAAGCGTCAGACTTAAGGGCCGGTATAAAAAGCCCCAGCAAAAGCCAGGCTTGCAACACATTTTGTATCTCTCCCCCTTCCTAGTTCTAGAAGCTGTTTCTCTACCAAAGCACAATTTTGATTGCTCTTATACTGTCCTCTGCTGTCATTCTGCAAGATCATGAGACCACAAACCTGGAAGCCACGGACACAGAGTGACTTAAGAAGCCAAGTGGCCATTCAGTTTCCAGGGCCCTAATTCTCTGACCCAAGCCCATCTGAGGCAAGAAATAGGCTCTGCCGCGTTGAAGGAACCCTGCAACGCCTTAACGGTCTGTAGGGGGAGCTCCTGAAGAAGGACACGTGAACTGGCTTCTTAAAATTGCAATCTTGGGATTGGAGAGATTACTCAGTTGTTAAGAGCACCTGCTGTTCTTACCTGAGGATATAGGTTCACTTCCCAGAAACCACAGGATGATTTACAGTTCCTCAGTAACAGACCACAGTAACTCCAGTTCCAGGGGATCTGATCACATACATACATGTGGGCAACGCCAATACACATAAAATGAAATTAAGTAAATCTTTTTGATTTTTCAAGACAAGGTTCAGGGTTTCTCTGTATTATTTTGGAGCCTATCCTGGAACTTGCTCTGTAGAATAGGCTGGGCTCGAACTCACAGAGATCTGCCTGCCTCTGGCTCCCGTGCACCACCAATGCCTGGCTGAAATTAAATAAATCTTGAAAGAAATCCTTTCTTCAGCTCTCTAACCCTGAATAGTTTTTTTTTTTTTTTAATGGCCTACTGTCTGTCATGACATCATGATTGTCAATCAATTCAAAGTCAGCAGGATGGAAGCTGACTCCAAACAGAGGCCAGGATTACTGGGAAGGTCAGGATGAATGCCCCTCTCTCTCTGACCCTGCGAGTGTCAACCCTGGCCCTATTCAGTTTCCTTTCACAAACTAAAGCCCTGTGAACGTGGGGAAGCAACTGGTCCTCTAGCGAAGGTCACTCTCTGACCAGAACCCACTCCCAACTGTCCAACTGGAAGTCATGCAGGGGACTCTCTCAACCTCTATGTTTCTGGGCGTTGAGCTGAGGCCTGAGAGCTAGAGCAGAAAAGGCCCCTTTAATAGCCCAAGCAGAAGAGCTGGCACTGCATGCAGAGAGGGAAGGAAGTGGGTCCTAAGTGAATGTATCGTTGGCATGAGCACTGCCATGTTTAAGCCCCACGAGAGTGACAAAGCTCCCTAGATGGAGCTTAGAGGAATGACAAAGCCTTCCTCAGGGGTCTGAGTGTGAGCTGGTAACTACTGTGAGCGAAGAATTAGGAACTGCAGCCTCATCCAGGATGTTTACAGGTCGCCCACAGAGCCCAGGCTAGCTAGCCCCTCCTACTATGCTGGTATAGGAAACACACAGGTTGCAGGCTGCACAGAGGTAGGTTCGGCTCCATCA